TTGTGGCAAAGTAAGCGTAAATTATGTTAAAAATAATTTTTAATATTTTAAGCAAGTAGTGTTATTGCCCCACATTGTTGGCGTGTCGGTGTTAGTGTCGAGGTTGTTGATCGTCGAGTCTAAAGAAGTTGTTACAGGGATAGCCAGATTATTTGACTCATAAACGATAACTTTGGTCGCTTTAATGATGACGGTTGATTGGATTCCTGGAGGACTGAAGAGGCTCCAGGATCTGGGGAAGGACTTGATGTTGACAAGACTATAGGGCAATGCGTGTTAGTCGTGATCTTGTAACAAATATATAAAGACCTACTCTGAGCTTTGGCATCAGGAGTGACTTGTCTCGCCGTGTGCGAGAATGGGACTTGGTGGCCTGTCTCAGAGTTAACATCAAGACACAGCAAAGGGTAGAGTCACGAACGTTTGCTACCTGTGGTAGGACTACTCGCCTTCCTCTTTCCCGCACCAGTTGGAACATGAGTTTCCACCACTTCAGGTTCTTCGAGAGAGGTAGCGAGGGACGCTTTTTCCGGTCTACTTCTGTGGCCTACTGTGTTTAATCCAGAAGTATTCTTCTGTACGGCCTCAGAGTTTACTACTTCAGCTGAAGTATGAGGCTCCGGGCGAGGAGAGACTGGAAGAAAGTCAGAGGGGATCTGTGGCGTGAAGTAAAGACACTTACAGTTTTTATCCTCCACCTTTGGCTCCGAATTTTTGGCCACGAAAGCTACTTGTCTCGTGGGAAGGCTCAAGATATTTGGTTGGGGTGTGCGCACTCGCAAAGCAGGGTTTGCAATTTCCTCGACTTCTAACTCGGAATCCGAATCCATGGTAAGGTCAATCAAATCAACATCTAGAGGGAAGTTAGCAGCGATTCACCAAAAGAAGCGAAGCGAGGAGTACCTTTATGAAAAGGAAAAGTAAGGACTTCCGCTTTGATAGCTACCTGAGGTGAGCGCCGCTCAGGCGTTTTCTGCACAGCCGCGCAAGGAATACCGGGCGGGTGACCATGATCAAGATCAGAGCCTTTGTTTGTAGTAGCAGTGGTCTGAGCTTGGGGTAATTCTTGTGTTGCATAGTTGTTGGGTGGGGGATGGTCGTCTGAAATTTCACGACCTTGAGAACCCATGAGGGTGGGATGGTGAGATGTGCTGCCAATAGCCTCGGAAACGGTGCTGCTACCTTGGATAGGTGTGGTGCTCCCACTACGCTGGCTATCCAAGCCTTCGGAACCAGTTCACAAAGAACTCCAGGTTGCTCCACGGTGTCTGATGTAGTATTCTGATTATGATCATGATCTGGGCATGGCGCTGGCGAAACATTGGAAATCTGGCTGCACGGTGATACCATAGTTGGTTGACAGTCTTCATGCTGGTGAGGCTCGTGGCTGTTGCTCGTCGCCGGAACCGAAAGAGTCGATCTCGAAAGGTCCACAGAGGCCGTGGTGCTGGAGGCTGCAGGGGTTGAAAGAGACTGGTCCTGGGACCCGGCAGTGGTAGTTGGAGAGTTTGCCTTTGGAAACGCTGCTGCTACTGCTTTGGGCAGAGTCAGCACGGAGGTTGAAGGGCGAATCAGTCCAGATCTTAATGCACGAGGGATTGCCATCTTGCAGAATCGATGCGAAGTGATGATCAGTAAGGTATAAGGGATTGTGGTGTCTCTGGAGGGGAGATACGGCAGCTTTATGAACGAGGCTCTTACCTCCGGATTCAAGTTAACTTGGCTGAACGACTGACTCACGCGTCCCGAATTGCGAAGGAACTAAAGAATGCCTAGTATCGGGCACACTTGCATTTTGCATGAGCAACAAGACAAGAACCAACGTGTGATGCATCAGCCGCAGTGAGGATGGGGTTTCGGACTACGTTGACACACAAGGATGAAGCACACAAACCAACGTGAGTGAGCCATTATCTCACCAGTGCATGATGCATTGATGGGCTCAGCACAGCTGACGGCCGGTTATATCTCAGCTAGCCAGGAGTGACATCAAGTTGTATTCAGGAAAGTATTGATCCGCGGCCGAGGAGGCTGCTTCCACGATCCAATCCCATGCAAAGATACCATCATGTGGCCAACATTATGCAATATAAATGAGCCATGATTTCACCAGTGCATGATGCATTGATGGACTCAGTAGAGCTGACGGCAGGCCGGATCTCAGCTGCCCAGGAGTGACGTTGAATTGTATTCAGGAAAGCATTGGTCAGTTGCCGAAGAGGCTACTTCCACGATCCAGTCCGTGCAAAAATACAACAAGCTGACTAACTTGATGCGGTATACGAGCTGTAGCCACCAGCACCAGTCTATAGTTTGCGGGAGGATCAAACTGTGGTCTCAGATGTTGAGATTCCGTGGGAAGGTTAGTGGAATGATCGAGCCAGACGACCAAGACCCGCTTGGTCTGCCTTGATCCACAATCTTTTTGTAAAGGCATGATGATGACAATGTCCCAAGAACAAAATCAAGAGCATGGAAGTGGAGGGGTCACAGCTAGGCATCTCGAGATTGTTGGTGATCTGCCTTGGGAGTGCATGAATTCGGACTTTTCGAGATCAGAAAGCCCAGATGACCAGAGGGGCAAATACAACATAGTCAGCCTGATTTCAATGTGTTCCTTCTTGCCGTGACCGATGAGACCATGTCAGTAGTCCGAAGATGTTGGTATCATTGACCGGTTCCACTTTGCGGCTTTTGGAGTTGATCCATCTCAGCATGAATTCGCCAGCGCGCAATTTAAAACAGGGTGTTCAAGTAACTCTGGTCAGGCATATAGAGTTTCGCACTTAAGCCATGGGATCGTTAAGAATCTCAGTAAAAAGTCATCACAAACTGAGTGTGGTTCTCAAATTAAAGGGGTAGAACGCATTCAATGGTACTCGAGATACTGTAAGCGAGGCGACTCCTGAATTTGCTAGGGTGGGCATACTCGGCTGCGAATTTATGCGAGACGTAGACCTCGTTTGCCCTATGGACGCTTGAATCTGCCTTGCCAGGACCAGTCTCAATGCTTGTATAGCTGACAGTTGATGGACGCAAATGCTTGGGAAAGGATGTGTCATTCGAATCCGTCGTGTATTTATATGTGGCACTTCCTCGTTGTGCGTCGAAACTGATCATGGTTACCCTATTACCCAGCAAGATCTCTCAAGTACTTCTTCACGTGTACGATGACGCTACCCACTCAAGGAAGTCATCTGGCACTTAACAAAGCTCTCAATGTCGAAGCAACCGTTGATCCAGCGTTCCTGCAAAGTTCTGTCTAGAACAAACAACACTTTCCCTTTGTCCCCTCTTTCACGGCCGACGAAGCTCAGGAAGCTGGTCGGATGAAACACTCCCCAAACATGACGCAGTCACCCTAGGCTCCAACAAATTATCAAGGCTGTGAACAAAACGTTTGTCGTGGACCGGACGCAGGTGCATGATCTCTCCCTCCAACGTTGCTGATTTAACTAAAAGATGCAAGGCAAAATGAACACATCAATTCACCAAGATACATATGTTGAAAGTTCGTCTTTCCTCATGCCCGCATCTCGACTCCCAATTTCGAGTCAAGTAGGGCTTCTGCCCTTGTCCCGTCATCTAGTTGGCCTTCCGTTCCTGCCGACATAGAAGGCTTTCAGACTGGCGAACAAACTGTCACGTCTGACGCAGAATGTCCACCAATCTTTATTACGCCAAATCAGCAAGCTTGGAATGCACTCGATAGTCAGAACTGTGCGAGGGTCTTAACCGGTAAAATTAACCTCCACCACCAAGAGTAACCTAACGATGTTAGCAGATCCTGTTGGACTCGACTACCAGACAGGGACATTCGAAATAGACTCACAATTGCCAAGTCTAACCTCGGTTAGGGAAAAATCATCACCAGCGACTTTCCACATCGATAGTATCATCACGAGTACGAGGACCGAAGCGGACGTAGCGCTGGCTATCTTCGTGAATCATGGAGGCCATCAGGTCAGAACAATCGAGAGCGCCGCCGACGAAGCTTGGTCACGAGCGCAAGAGTGCAGTCGAAGGCTTGATTTTCTTATTCAGTGTAAGGGTTTCCTTATGGCTGAAGATTAAACTCGAGGTTGACGAAGAAGACTGGTGTCTCAAGGTTAGTTGGAACTGCACAGGATAATCAAAAACTCCAATTCTATCTACTAGACAACCCAATTACAAAAGAAACGATCAAATCCCCATTCGCTCCTCTAGAGCCTGTACTACTAAAGCGATTTTAGCCAATGACGGACCAAGAGTTTCCATCTCGGCGACTTTCGCCACAAGGCCTGATACCAGCGCACTCATTTGGTCCATCTTCACAAGAAACGCTGTCATTTCAGGATTGGGGACTGTCCCCGGAACTGCTGCTGCTGCCGCCGGTATCGATGTTTGCCCGGTCACTCTTCGAGCATATTCCATTTTCAAATCTTTTGGCACCCAGTCGAATTCTGCTTCCACCTTCCATGGAACCGAGATATTTTACCTTTCACAGTACACGGTAATCTCCTTGTCCGCTCGGCCTTTCCCCAAGATATCACCAAAATCCGATCTTGTGCAAATCTCTATCCCGCTTGCCATTTCTATACAGCACAAAGTGTCAGCAGCCTTGGTCCCTTTCCCAAATGTTGCCATGATGCGCCGCCCCTTCGTACACCAAAGAAACTTGATGAAGTTGGGTTTGTCCCTCCACGTCCATGTCTTTGCTTTCTCGCCGTTGCTCCTTCGTTCTGCTAACCGCTTGATACCTAGCATGGCGAAAAACCTAATTTCCTCTTCTGCCTTGATTGACGTTCCCGAAATCAAGTCGTATATTGGATCTGGACCTAATTTGGAAGCGACAATCAATGTGCTTCTACCTTGATCTTCTCCTAACTTCGTGTGTTGTCGCCCTGCGATTACTCGACGCCCATCTGTAGTGACAAGTGTGTTCCAGGGATATTGGGTATCACTACTTCCGCCAGCATTGAGCGTTTGACCTGCTTTCCTAGCCGCTGCCTCTTCCGCTAGTCTTTGCGCTTCGGCTTGGGCTGCTGCCGCTGCCGCTTGCGCTGATATTTGCGCTTCAGCTTGGGCCGCTGCCTCGTTCACGTTGTTTAGTTCGTCCTTAGTTGGGGTGGGTGGTGTCCAATTTGGGTATTTGCGTTCATTCGTGAAGCTATTCATTTTATCTTGCCACTCTTTCCATTGCATCATCAAGGAAAGGTTATTGAGATCGTGAAGGAGAGCATCACGTATGGGCTTTCCGTTGAGGTAAGCAGAGCCGATTGTCCCACAATCAATGATACAATTATCACGGGTATTGCCGTCCTTTTCATTTTGTGCTTGAATCCTCTCATTGAGTTTCGACAATGCCTGAAGAACAGTCAAGTTGCTAGGGTCTAGCCACAAGGGCTGCATGTAGTCCGTTGCTTCGTAAAGGATCTTCAAAATTGTCCCGTTTGGAGTGGGAAAGCCGCTGCCTGCAGGCCGAGGAAGTGGACCCTGGCCATCCCAATTGGAGATGAGGTCTAAATATTCCATAGGAACACCGTATGAAAGGGCGGCGCCGTTCACTTCTGCACCATTGTCAGCACAGATTATTATATGATATAATGAATTGAGACTTACTTAGAAATTCGTGATCGGATGTCTTTCTATAGAGCTTAGGGTGAATGAGGAGGATGGTTGCTTGGTAAGCAGCGAGAGCTTGCTCTTTGCCCTCTGGTGTGGATATACTCGCCGAGCTCCAGTCCGACGGCAAGTTTAGTATCTTCTTCTTATTTTTGGTAGAGCTCACTCTTTGCAATGCTTGTGCTCGCTGAATCATTTCAGGGTCATGATCAACTATATCATCATCGTCATCATCTACTCTTGTAACCGTGATTTCTGGTTCGGTCTCTGTACTGGTCTTAGACGGATTGGGCTCTGGCGTGGCCTCTGGAGTGTATCCGCCATAATCGTTAACTTTCGCCCTACCAAAACCACCCCCACCCAAAGAATCTTTCGGGTCAAGAGATGCCATTGCTTTCCGTGGAACTTGTTTATCAAATTCTGGTTCTGTGTCAAATAAAGCTTGGAGTCCAACGTCGATATTATCACTCATTGTCTAGAAAAAATGAAAGACGTTTGATCTTAAGCTATATACCTAACCGGAGCCCAAAATAGCTATAATTTACCAAATTAGATCACAACAATCCTGTTATAGCTAACAAACGCGCACAAGGGTCCCAAACGGGTGCCTCCTCTTGGTCTCGAAATAACATTTGATGAGCATATATATTATTTGGAGTTAGTCTCGCTTTGCAGCGTATACTCCGCTGCCATCACTCATCATCACTCACGATGTTCATCCCAATTGTATTGATTAGTACATACTGTCACTTGTGCCTTGCCCACCATAGCAACAATGTAACTGAACAAGTTGCAGCTGATCAGAACAGAACACTACAAACCACATCAAACATCACAAATATCTCCACTATTGAGGTAGCATTGGTGGAAGCGATAGCCATCATAACAATTCAGGTGGGCAACGCTGTAGGAGTTGCGACAGTTGACTTTGTCTCTCTGGAATCTAGATCGTTGCAGGTGTCAAGTTCAGCTACAGGTGCCGAAGGCTCTGATACTGAATATATAACATCGTCGCCAGATCCTCCTTCAGAATCGATGACCTCATTTCAATCTGCCACGCCAACCAGCTTGGCTCAAATCAGCTCTGTAAGCAGTACGTGCAACATGACATCAACTTGGGCACAAACACAGTCTACAAATGTCAGTAGTACAGTCCCAGCACCAACGGCATCGGTAGAGAAGGAGTCCATTGCAAAATTAGTCAGTAGTAGTGGAGGAAGTTCTTTCATTGCACCCAGTTTTGTATCATCGTGTATTTTCCTCATTTTCCTCGTCTTGATGTAGTATAAATAATAATAGACTGTTAAGGGTAATTAGATATTAGAAAACTTTAATGCATTACTTTTTCAAGTTCAATTTCCTCCTCCGTTGTCCCTGCCTCGACTTTGGTCAAGGTGTTTTCGACGTGGTATACACATCGCGGTATAAATTGCCGACTCTGTACAGCCTGAGGCCTCGTCCCACGTGTTATCATAAAGGTAACACCCAGAAGCCGTTTGCTACTTTCCTGCCCTTTGGCTTGCTTCGTTGTGATTGTGAACCCAAAAATCATGATGATTATTCAGAACGGCGTAAGGAACTGAAGACTTTGGCTCGCGCTGGTTCAAATTATATACGAGAATTTGCGTTTTGTATTTTTACTTCCTGTTATTGTTTATTAATAGAAACATTTAAAATAACCCCCCCCCTATTCTAAAACCAGGACTTTGGATAGAATGACTATAAGTTTGTGTCTCAAGCTCGAGCTCCATCTCTAGGCAAGATGGATCCTGAAATCAACACAGCTCCGTTGCAGTTCCACGAAGAGGATGGGTATTCCATGAATTCGTTGATGAATAGACTTGATGAGTTCCAGCATGCACAGCAATGGGAGTGTCTAGAGCGCCTGACGCTGGAGAATTCCTGGTTGGAACAGCACGTTACCCGTCACCGAGAAAAGTCGGCACGCGTGGCCTTTCTGCTACGTGAGATCGAAGGAGCCGCGAATGAAATGCAAAGGGCACTTGAAGCGTGCTGCAGTGAAGAAGTTGCAGCAGATAGAGCTTGGCTCGCATTCTGGCATGTGCGTGAGAAGCAAGGGGCAGCATCTGGTAATGGGTCTTGGATCTAATCATTGAGGGCTAAGAAAATTCAAACTGCTCCATCTCCGCGTCCCTCATTTCCTCCAAGCGATTCCTTTGCTACTTTAATATCTGCTATGAAATTATCAACTACTCGCTTGGAAAGCTTTGCCCATTCCATCAACTTGTCCACGTAAAGTTCGACTCCCTCCAAAAACCTGAAATTAAAATCAAAATACGTTCAAAGACAGAGTGTCGGGGGTTGTACCTTGTTTTCTGCTCGGAACTTATTAATTCCAATACCATTAGCATCATTTCTTCTCGAGGTCAGGGCACATACTCAATCAACTGCTCCTTCATTGTCCCTTCTAGTCTTTTGATTCGGGCTTCTAATTGAGCAATACGGGAATCGGTTTCTGCGGAGACAGCGTGTTCCTTTGGTACTGGCGGCAGTTCAGGGTCCAGAGCAGCCAGTGCAAGAAGATCCAGAGCCGTGTTGGGGTCTTGCGGCCCCCAGTCGTATCCTTGAAAAGGGTCGTAAGCCTGCAAATGGGATTGTTGACCTTGAAATAGCGGTTGACTTAAAGGTGTCTGGCGTCCAAGGGTCTCTGTTGGTAGTTGCCAATCTTCAGGTGGTTGAGCATAAGGCAGGGCCTGCTGGGACATCGGGTACATTGGGGCGTAATCTATGGCGCTGGACATGAAGATTGGAGAATTCACTGCTTTATACACTCTTATACTAGGACTTAATGTCTGTTTGGAAGTGGCTTAGAGTACCCAATAAAACTTGAAACGAGCTCATTGCGTTACCTTCCTATATGCTCAACTATTTCCAAGCCCTGGTCATGATACGGAAGCCTCCTTTGCCTGGTACCTCGTGCAGATAATCGGCTTTCAAAATTAAACATTCTAAATTCAGAACTTTTCCCAAGCCAACTTCGGGTCTCTCTAATTGCGGCTGATAATGCCAGCCGAGTAGCAAGCATTTCTTGATCAGCTCTCTCGGCATATGGCCGCAGCCTGACCAACAGCTTAGCATGCATGAGAGCCCGGTAGATAAGGTCTTCATCACGTGTAAGCTTCTTGCAGATCAGGTTGTTAAGATATAGCACCTGTGCGTTCGACATTGTCAAACGTAGTGGTCTTGGTCGAGTGCTTTGAGAAGCGGTAATTCAAATAAGGAAGGCACTACTCAAAGGTAGGGCGCAGTGGATTTATTCTGAGAACACCAACATATATTTTTGTCTGGAGGAGAATCATGATGCCAGAAGTACATACCTTGTCCAACCACGCCAGGTGCATGGCACATAGTCCCGAAGTTTGGGCCGGCCTTATTTAGCGCTAAGTAAAGTCCAACCACATCCCTGGACATTGCATGGAGCCCATAATAGCACATCTATTCACGAGCAGCTGCAAGAAAAGTCTATCTTGCATAATCTGCGAGCGGGGTAGGAGAGGAAATGTGCGAACGGGTGTGGGAGTTCCGGCGCAGTAGATACAGGTGCACGAATATATGAGACGCTTGACATTCGTCGAACTTGACCGAACAAGAACTTTTGAACCGTCAACATACGATATTGTTGTACCAAGAAATTCATTCCCTGTATTACTCGATTTTAGTTCCATAGCACAGCACTGTACACAAAATGAGCCAATTCTCTAGCCTCGACGCAGGTGCAAGTGTTCAGCCACAAGCCGAAGTTTCACATGACGGCCTGCCGCCGTACTCCGATGAAGCAAACAACACTGCCAAAGAAGGAGTTCAGAACGTTCTTCCAAAATATCCTCCAGGGCTGCCAATGCATCTGAGAAGTGGCCGGCAGGTAGCTGCGCAGCAGCACTCGGAGCGGCCACCCTTCAGTAATCAGCTTCCGCAACCAGAGGCTCAGGTTCAACAACCGTTTGATAATCAGCTCCCCCAGCAACCTCTGCTTCAACAGATTCGTTTCACGGATGTTGATGTCGAGATCATTGGGAACCATATGGCGGGAGTTTGCCATGCTATGGACGCCTGCCGTCAAGTGTTGTGGACGAGAATGGGGGTGTGCCATGCGCTTCAGAACGCCTTTGAAGATGAGAGGAGGGCTCACTCTGACTACGCCAAGTCGTACGAGATGTTGTACACTCAGCACCAAAATGCTCTGTCGGAACTCAACACCCTCTCAGCCGAATGTCGATCCTTGAGTGGACGAAATGACTGGTATTGTCGGCAAATGTGTGTGCTTAATAATTGGAATGAAGTTTCCCAAATTCAAGCGTTCAAATATGCTAATGCAAGGCCAGCTTCTTTCCCCCAAAAGATATCGAAGGTGTAGGTATCTTCCAAGATGCAGGACCCCTCCAAAATGACCCTTTGATTGCGGCTCTGGCCGAAGCACCGGCTCTTTTTCCAGCAGGGAAAACCCCAGACTTTGTGGTGTCGCTGGGGACGGGCAGAACGCCTGTAGCGGAGAATACGACGGTAACCCCGGGGAACTTCTGGCGGAATAGAGCGTCACCCCGACTTTGGAGAATGTTTTCGGAGAAGATGCGTGATCGAGATATTAGAAGACTGTATAACGAAGATCCTCGGTACCATAGAGTCGACTTCGAATTCAGTGACGTCGAGCCTCGCTTGGAAAATATCAAACAGATGCGGGATCTACAGTCAACCCCGTGCAAGGGTGTAACGATCATGAAAGCCATTGATAACATTGCCAGGTCTGCTATCTCGTGTCTCTTTTACTTTAAATTAGAGACTTTACCTGTTGCTCACCATGGTGCAACACGTGCAAGTGGCTTTATCCGCTGCTGGATTCGGCAGAGTGATCCAGCTTTTCAGACTCTCATTCAACAACTCACTCAAGCATCTGCTGCTTTCTACCTTAACGAACGCATAATCCCAGGAGATATTGATGACCCATCATTTTGGGACAGGGACGGAAACTTCTCTAAACATATCGAATTACATGATGGTAAATTCAGTATAAAGCCGCGTCAAGGGGTCAACGAATCATGTAACATCAGTGGCTCCCCTTATTGTACGGAAAAGTTGATCGCATTTCAAGGTTTGAATGCTGTTTTTGGAAGGGCGGATCGTCGGAAGAGGAAACGACGTGCAAAGAATAACACAACTGCAAGGCAAAAGCGTCGGTTGAGGTACTAAGGTCTTGAATGGTGTAATTGATGTATCTATTGAAAAACAAAATAACAGGTAGGTGCAAATTTGAACAGAATAAAATCAGCCCTCATCACCAAAATCCGAGTAAAGTCAACATGAAGCCTAGAACACAGAAACCTGACAATAAATAAAAGTTTATCAACGCCCGAAAAGATTTTGGCAAGATGCGCTGGGTATTCCACAGCCTGTGGAAGAGCTTTTTTAGCTCCACAGCCTGTGGATACTCCGCAATACCATCTCCCAAACACCTATACACCTCTGACTGACGCCCTCGTGCTCCATTTGCCTTCCTCCATGTCACTAATTGCTTTGAGGATCGTGTCTCGAACTTCAAGAGCAGCGCTGGTGACTATGTGATCGATACCGTTGAAGTCTACACTATTTTGGTAGAGAAGAATAACGTCGGCTCTTAAGTCATCCATAGATTGATATGCATTATTCTTCACCTTCAACTCGATAATGCTGAGGTCAACCGGGTTAGGAATCTTAGCAGCATATGCGTCCGCACAACCAGGCCACAGCTGCTCGACCGGTGCTTTGAAACTCTGACCAGCTTGAGTCCGGCTAATATCGTTCAAGGTATTGGCAAGGTCTTTGGCTTGACGCTTCGTCATTGCAGTCTGCACTCCATTCGTTTGGGACTTGGCGGGGCTGAGCGCAGAATGCTCCTGGCTGTCCGTGTGGTAGGAACTGGAGAATGCCTTGAAATGACAATCATCAGCATGTTCTAAAAACAGTGGCTGTACTTACTTGCTCCCCATTAGGCTCTGACTGTTGATGGCACATATCGAATGCCGGGTCCCCTAATGCATTACGATCCAAGAAGTAGGTGGCGCCGTGAGAGTTTTTATCTAGTTGCGACTTTGCAATGTCGCGGGATTTCTTGTGTTTAGCCCGGAGATCACGCCAGCATTAATCGTCGTGTCAAGGCCCGCTACTCGAATGGTGAACTGGCAGTATTGGTTGGTCTGAACACGGTGGTCGGCAATCATCCATTATTGCCGATATCCTATCGGAATACAGGATCAGATCGAGGTCCCTTGCTATGGACCAGGGGAGAAGATTGAATGGACTTCTCTCATCAACCTGGACGCGTCCAAGGCCAAATATACCCCTTGGATTTAGTATGAAAGCCTTGGTATAGAAATTGTGGATCATGCCGTGTTCTTGGGAACAATGACCAAGTCTTTGTTCTTGAAGACTGCCAGTCGCGGAAGAGCTTTCAAAGGCTTCTGTCCTCTCTGTGAGTGCACGCGCTGACGGTTCTTGCTGCTGAACTAGGACTTCTTTTTCCGAGACACGGACTGCTTTCAGCGAATCCTCGACGATCTTTTCCGCGTCTTCCGTTCCGATGGTAATCTTACGATCTTTGAACTCCTCAAGTTTCTCATCCGAGGCTGAGCCGGTGAGCCGGTGAGCCGGATGCTCGGATTGCTGTCTTGTATGCCGGGAGTAGCTGCCTTTGTCATTATATTTGAAATCGCCCTTCTTAGATTCGAAGGCTCGAGATCTTGATTGCGCACCTCACCAGGCCTGTGAAACTCTCGATTTCGAAAGTCGTGCCAGATAATAGGAGGAGTTCCTGCGGAGGCTACAGAAGCGTTCTGGGTCTTCATAGATGGGCCTCGGCTCATGCGTTGCTGGTACAGCGATCCATCCTGCCCCATGCTGATCTCCTGCAAGCTCCCCCGAAAGCTTCGTGGCTCAACGCTATTCCCGAACTTGCGAAGATTTGAATCAATACATGGGCCAGGAGCAAAAGGCGCTAGGATTTACGAGATGGAGAACTAGGATGGCATGGTAAGTGCACAGAATAGACTGGTCGAGAAGGACTGATGGATGGGCAGAGGAACCTGCATTGCAGCAAAGCAATCTTGATGACCAAGACACTGGGAGGTATGCTTGTGCGGAGGAAGAGCTGTCATGCGCCTTGGGTTTTCTTCGGAGGGGACGAGTGGAGGAGGAAAGGGGGGAAAAGTAGCTTGGTCTTGATACATTCATTATGGCACACTCAGCAATGGCAAGAGAATTGATCGTATCACACCGAAGACTTCCTGACATAGTGGCTTGCGATGAGTTGGATTTGCATCTGTCACTTACAGATTGCTGCTTCGAATTATGTCGCCATATTCCACCATGGTTATACCAGTCCGCGATCTTATTTCCAATCGCTTTACCGCGATTTCAAATGGTTTGGACGATGTGGAGTAGAGTAATCAATGCCATCGGAGGACCAGAGAACCTAGCAAAAGTCCTAGGAAGTCTCGGTGTTGGGAAATGAAGAAAATGGAGCATGGCAATACTTACTTGAGGGAGCCAGTGGTCGAGGTTTAGATTAAATCATCGCAGCTAGAAGCTATAATGTTAGGACAGAGCGGGAACTCCAATCAAGCAGCTAAAGCTACCATCAATCTCCAGTCCAATCGCTACTCCATATGAATGTACCACAACGCCACTGGGAATTCTTCTCCTTCTGACCAGATGGTCCAATTGGTCTGGGACACATGTAGAATGATCTACCACAATTGACGCCAGCTTTTTTTGTGACAAGACTGATGCAAGGTTCATTGTGCTCGCAGCGAGGAACAATCCGCTTTCCTAGCAATCTTGACCAGCTTTCTTTTGCAACTATCGGGTCGATGACGCTGTCTTCATTGTCAGGGTTGAACTTCTTTGGGGTCAAATCCTTAGAAGATTCAGGATGCATGTCGGCAACAAGAGGAATCGGGGTTGGAGTTGCAGATGCGGATGTGGGTGTTCTCGTTGATTCGCATACATTGCTAGATACGATGCTTTCTGCGTCAGTCGTCCCATCAACTTGTGGCTGCTTTGGTTTAAAAAACCCCTTGAGGCTGCTCTGGCCTTTACCAGGCTGGCTTTTCGCCGAGCCTGTTGCTTTGGAACTCGATAGGGACTTTCCTTTCTTCTGTGGTTGGGTTGTGGCAAAGGGTGTCTTGATGATCCGTTTAGTGCCTTTGGGAGGCTGTGCATCCGGTGGTGACTTCACATGGGGCGTGTGAATCCCAATATTTTCAGGACTTGGGACTTGTGATCTTGGTTGAACTTTTGTAGGCTCGTCTCGTGAATTAGTCTGCTCCCCCACGATCGCGGGGTCTGTGTTCAATGTTGAGCCTTCCTCTGTCGAAGTGCCATCACCCTTCACGGATGACTCTTGCGTGTCATTCGAGATAGAAGAGCCGCCCTTCAGCAGAGAAGGTTTCTTGCTAAACATGTCTTTGATGCTCCGACGACGGTCGAACTCTGGTATGAGCTTGGCCGACATAGGTAGGAGATTTTTGGTTGACCACTCTTGCTGTCGAATACCCTCCTTAAACATGCCATCACTCATGATGTCTTTGATGTGAACCTCCTTTCCTTCGATCAGAACTCTCTCTTTGAGAATGACATAAACAGGGCAGTGGTCAGAACCCATAAGGCCTTCTTGGATGTTGGACTCGCTGAACCAATCCTTCCAATTTTCACTGCAGAGTACATAATCAATCCTTGAGCCAAAATTTCCCGGACGAGCATTGATCTTCTGTTCCCAGCAGGTGAACATGCCTTTACGGGTTGGATGGAATTCTCGGCAGATATCCCACATAATAGATCTCTCCCTGCCTTCGTCTCTCTCGCCAATGACTCTCCCACCAAAGACAAGCTGATTAAGCAGTCTCCTAGCTGGTGTTGAGATGTATTGTTCAAGGGTTATATCCTGCTTCTTCAGCTGCTCCGATGCATGAGCGGTATCCATCTCGTCCCTGATGATATTCAGATCGCCTGTCAAAAAGACCCTCTTCCCAGCCGCCACAAGATTTCGAACTCTGGCATCTAGAGCATTAAGGAAACCGATCCGGAACTCGTCCCTAGTCTCATCGCGAGTTGCTGGACAGTATGTTCCGATAAGGACAAATGCTGGAAATTCGAGAATGACGCAACGACCCTCGGAATCGAGTGTAGTAGCATCTAGAGAGCAATCGGAAAGTTGGCTTGAGGTTGGATAGCCGCCAATCTGCTGCTCTTTTGGGAGGTCGAAGAAACTTGTGGTGGAGTTGGGTGGGGTCAGAATGCCTGTGATACCTTCTTCTGCACGAAGAGGAGCACAGGCAGAGTTGCGGGTATAGATGGCCACACCAGAGTATCCTATGCATCAAAAGTCAGCTGTTGCATGATTCATGCTTCAAATGCTGCTTCACACCTTTCTTATGCTTAGGAAGGCTGAAATACACGTCCCAACCTGGGACGAGAACCATATCATCTTGAAGGTCTTTTCGTTGGATTTTGGTCTCCTGCATTATCACAATATCCGCTTCTAGAATTTCGAACATTGCCTATATTACAGTGTGAGTAAAACGTTGCAGTGACGACAGGTTGCCATACCGCAAACGTCCTTTCTTGACGCCATGGTTGGTATCCAAATGGATTCCTGGTTCAAGTTCAGTCTTTGAGTTTGATCTCCCCACTCCAGGCGGAAGAGCACGAGGATGATTTCCCCACCTGATCCCGTTCACTGCTTCTAATTAGCCACACCTGACATGCTCATGGACTTCATTACTTGCCATTCCATGTAGTGATTCGAAGTCCCCGTCTCTCATCCATCTTCATGTATCTACTGCTCGATTCGACGGTATGAAACGATGATGTCATAGCAGAAAAAAGGCTCCTTTCGTGCCTTAAAATAATGTGGATGCCTGAGCGGTCCGCTTCGCTGGCCTAAGTGCCTGAGGTATGACTCGGCAGTGGAACGTGTCGTCTCCAATTGATGCGTCTTCCAAAAATCGTCATCATATTCAGTTTAATAATAACTCTATTTTTATAGAATGTCTTCGAGGCGGGAATCGGAATTTGCGCGCCTAGGGATATTGATGAAAGAATCAACGATTTGCCCGCAATTCCCAAAGCAACATAAGACCAATCTAATCTAGAGATACCCTTAGCTCAACCCACTCATCCTCCCACTACCCCATGAACTATCATGAATATAAACCTCGCCAACGCTCACGAAATCCCTCACTGATAGCAGGTCCGGAAACATACAATGCCAAACACCCAACCCACCTAACTACATCCCCAAACTTGACTCTCGGAGATCCATTACCCCCATCGGCCTCAATCTTCGAGTTTTTGTTCCAAAGCCTTGATTTCTTCAACTACCTCGCCAGCAGCACCATAGAGCCCTTTCCAGCAGTTAAGCGTGACAGTACTACAAGCGTGAAAGTCTTGTGGGAACTCCTGCTTCTCGAACCTGGCGGCCACTTTCTCTCGAAACCCATCCTCTCCATCCTTGATATCAGGGAAAACAGCGTGGCCCATCATGATGAAATAGAAATTGCACCCAAGCGCAAAGAGGTCGGTTATAATATTAGCATCAAAGAAGTCATTTCGAGGGCAGAAAAACCTGCACGGCTCACCGCTCCAACCGTCTAGGAGGACTTGCCCATCTTCTGATAAATGTCTCCCTTGGAAGTCTGCTAGCTTGAGATGGAACTCGTCGTCGAGGAGAAGATTGGTGGGTTGAATGACGCAATGAAGGACCCGGCGTGAGTGGATGTGTGCAACTGCTTCAGCAGCCTCCCGGCACCATGATAATCGCTGGCGGGTCGAAGGAGGCGGAAGGCCTGATTCAAGTAAGTGGTGGGCGAGAGTACCATTCACAGCGCGCTCAAGATAGATCCGCATGTCTGAAAAGCCCTTGAAACCGATGATTCGAGGGTGTGGTCCGATGATTTCGAGAAGCTTTCTTTCGATCTCAGTGCGAATTGCCTCTCTGCCAGGCGCCAGAGGATATTTGAGAACTGTAGATTCATCTACTTCTCCAATAAAGGCACTACCTCCGGATGCAATAACCTTCTTTACACCTGGAGGATAGTACTGGTAAATCATTTCTATTTCTCCGTCGACGGACATAGCGATGATTTAGTGAGTGAGTGATGAGGTTTGATAACCAATTCGCTCACAACGACAAAAGACTAAGAGCGCGGTAGAATAAATGTTTGAACGTTATAAAGGAAGTCCTCTATTGCTTATAGGTAATCCTTGAGAATGTTAGGTTCTCAGTCAAGGGGCATGTAGTCTGCGTATCAGTCGCTTCAGGGTACAGTCGGGGGACAGGCAAAGACCACTAATATTTTGCCGACATTCAACACACTAACTTTAATTTATTTATTAATAAGCGCAACAACGTTTAATAAATAATTTATTTAATGCAAAATGCGTAGAATTTATTATTTCCAATTGTTAATAATTTTATATTTTAATAAAAACGTGAAATACGATAAATATAATATAAAATTAAAATTTTATTTATAAAAAAATTTGTCAGGGGTTGAACCCCATAATGCTTCGGCTACGCCTCGCTTAAGCACCAGCCTCCTTATTTTCTTTACGAGTGTAATCTCCGATCTAAGACTTTAATCTTAGAACACTTAGCGTGTGTCGAGGCTTCTTCGAAGCCCCTATTC